CTCAGGGCCCACTTCGAACACACAGCCCCTGCGGCCATTCCTCCCGGGGATCTCTCCCTTGGAAACGGCTAAGGGCAGCGGCTCAAGGCTGCAGAGGGTGTTCACAGCAACATTATTTATAATGACAAAGCCATTGGAGACACCGTGCTTGTCTGTCTCTGGGGCAAGAGGTGAGTCGGCCATGCTCCATCTGCTGCTGGAACGTTCTGCATCCACCAAACGAGGTGGCTGGGGAGGTCGTGCCGTGAAGGGGCGGCGTGGCATTTTGAGAGCGAAGAAGCAAGTGATGGAAGAACGTGCGCCGAATGATACAGTTTCTGTGAAACCGCTCTGTGTGTGGAGAAAGAGGAAGAATCTGCAGGAGCAGAGGCTCTGGAGGGCGCCCCAGGGGAAGGGACTGCGGGGAGACTTTCAGCTTTGCTTGTATGTCACCCATATCCCTCCAACCCATGTCCTGCTTTGTGACTAGAGTAAGTAAGTCTGGATCTCGTTCATTTCCACAATGGGAGAAGAACGCTGGGTTCAACTAAGCCATTGCAAATACTCTTATCTCCTGTCAAGCCCGTTACCAGCCCTCACTCCCCCACCAGCACCCCCGGACAGGACCTCTGTGCCCAGGGCTGCCAGGAGCTGCGGACCTGAAGCTGGCTCCACGTGGTCCCCGCCCTCTCTGCCTGGGGAAGGCACACCCATGCGCCAATGGTCACAGAGCATGGTGCCAGGTTCTAGAAATAGGCTTTTAGCATGGGCAGGTGGGTTGATGGAAAGTCAAGGAAGCCTTCCCAGATGGCGTTTGACCAGGGGTACCTGAAATGCAGGGGTTGCCCCCAAAGCAGGATGCAGGCATTTTGGGGGGAAAAACAGGCCCCATAAAGGCCAATGGTGTGGGGGAAGCGAATGGGAGGAGGCTGGAGGAACAGGAGGCAGGAGGCTGGGCCTGGAGACATGAGTGGAGCCCAACCAGCAAGCAGAGGGAGAGCATGATCTTCAGAGGCAGACCAGAGAGGCGGGAGATACTCAGAGCTGCCTGCACCCTGAGGCCCGGAGACAGTTCAGCTGGGATGTGCAGAGGATGCCCTGGTGAAGCAGCCACTGGAGGCCCTTGGCTGCTAAGCTCCTCACTGGGCGAAGGGCATCTCAGACTTCAGGGCACAGCAAAATCCTATGGGCCTTACACTTCTAACTGGCCACCTGTAGGGCCCCGTGTCTAGTCCTGATGTGACTGGGACACTTGGAGAGTCCATCCTGCTGTCTCACCCATGGGCAGAGACCTCAGCCAGGTCTGGGGTCTCCCCTGCACCCCTAGCTTCAGCTCCTTCTAATGCTGGCCAGCCCGGCTCTCCCATGCCACCCCATCCAGCCTCCGTCTCTCCAGCGCTCCCAGATCCCCTGCCCAATGGCAAGCCTGAGGGAGGCCCCCTTTGGTCAGTATTCCCCTCCCCTATGCCCTGGGGGTAGGGAGGGCCTGCAGTAGCCCCGGGGGGGGGCGGGGCTGGGTAGCAGCTGTGCCGGGCCTTGGGCCTCGTCCAGAGGGCTCCCGCTGTCCTGGAATGCACGTCCCTCCTTCCTCCTGCACTTGGGCCCTCGCCCCGGATGGTCTGTCGGGTGTCAAGCGTCCACACCTGCCACAGACATCTTCCCAGTCTCCGTGAAGTGAGTCCTGCTGCCCACATCCAGCTCTTAACACTAGGAACCGTGGCGGGAGCGCGGTGGTTGATTTTTACGAGGCTCTGAGCTGCAGTGGCTAAAAGTCCGAGTCCTGGAGTCAGACACCCCCAGGCGCCTCCCTACAACTCAGTTTTCTCATCTGTAAAATGGGAATGGTCAGACCGACTCACCTGGGGTTTCAAGGATGCTTACACCAATAACGTGGGACGCTCAGTGCAGGGCCTAGAACCCAGGAAGCACTCAGAAGGTACAGTTATTCTCAAATATTTTCCTCCTGTTCCTTTCGAAGTATGTCATAAAATTGAAGGGGGCAGTCTACACAGTTGTGCGAGTCGTGCACACGAATAGACCAGGGTCACCAGCACCAGCTTCGGGACTGTCAACTTCCAAACCCCCAGATCCCCTCCCGCTGCCCCTTGGCAGTCAGATCCTCCCCCTTCCCTGGCCCTCGCCAACCGGTTCCAGGTCCCTAGGGTTTTTGTCTTTTCCAGAATGGTCTAGAAGTAGAATTACACAGCGAGTGACCTTTGAGACTGGCTTCCTTCAGGCAACATCATGCCTCTGAGGGTCACCCAGGTGGTCCTGTGTCGAGTCTGTCCTTTCTCACTGCTGAGGGGTGACCCCTCGCACGAACGGACCACCTTTAACGGTTCCCTTGCTTAAGGACACGTGGGTCATTTCCAGGTTGAAACGATCGTGGACAGAGCTGCTACCCACATTTCTGTAGACATTTTTGTGTGAACATAGACTTTCATTTCTCTCGAGGCCATACCGAGGAGAGGGATTGCTGGATCTTTTGGCAAGACTGATTTTCGGCTAGGGCGGGTTTTCTCACCACCCCTCCCCCATCCCTGCTAGTAGATCTGTAGTAGTTTCTCACTGTGGGTTTGCTGACAGTGCTTTTTTATTGTGGGTAAACACACATCACATAAAATTGACCGTTTGGCCATTTTTAAAGCATATAATTTAGTGTGGCCTTAAATACAGTCGGCACATTGTACATCTGTGAGCATAGCCCATCTCCAGGACTTTTGCATCATTTTGAACCCCACTGGTGAAGCAGAAACTTCCTATTTCCACCTCCCCCGTGCCCAGCCCCTGGTAACCTCGCTCCTACTCGCTGTCCCTATAAATCTGCCTGTTCTAGGTACTTCATATAAATGGAATCATACAGCATTTGTGCTTTTGTGTCTGTTTCATTACCATGACATCTTCAGGGTTCATCCATGTGGTAGCAGGTGTCAGGAAATCATACCTCTTGATGGCTGAATAATATTCTGTGGTGTGTATAGACCACATTTTTTAATCCATCTATTGAGGGACATTTGAGTTACTCCCATCTTTTTTTTTTTTTTTTGGCTATTGTGAAAAGCTCTGCTGTGAACTTGGGTATGCAAATACCTGTTTGAGTCCCTGCTTCCCATTCTTTTGGACATTTCACTATGGTTTTTATTTACAATCCTCCGTGGCTAATGGTGTGCTTGTCTATAATCTCTGTATCTCCTTTGGTGAAGTGTCTGTTGAAATATTTTGTTTATTTTTTTATACGAGTTGTTTGTGTTCTTATAGTTGAGTAGTGAGCGTTATTTCTAGAGTATGGACACCATCCTTTGTAGGACGTACAATTTACAAATGTTTTCTGCCAGTCTGTATCTCATCTTTATTCACTTAGCTGAGACTTTCACAAAGCAAAGGTTTTTTTTTAATTTCATGAAGTCCCCTCTATGATTTTTTTCTCTTATTAATTGCGTGTTTGGCATCATAGCAAATTTTCTGCCTAATCTGTGGTCACAAAGATTTTCTTCCAAAAAAGTCATAGTTTTGCATCATATATTCCGGTCAATGATCCAGACTGAGTTAGCATTTGTATTAGGGGTGAGGCATAGGTTAAGGCCCAACAATTTTTGCATCATGTACTTTAAAAGTCTGTTGTTATGTGCATAGACATCGAGGATTGTTATGTCTTCGTGGTGAAGTGACACTTGGATCTTTATGTCATTTCCCTCTTTATCCCTGGTAGTTTTCCTTGCTCTGGACTCTACTATGACATTAACGTAGCCACTCCGGATTCCTTGACTAGTATTTATACATCAGTTTATCCTTTGATTTCTTAACCCATCTCTATCGTATTTGAAGCTCGTTATAGACAGCCTATTGTTGGGTCATGGATTTTAATCCATTTTGACAATTTATCTTTATTCTTTTGTGTGTTTAGACCATTTATGTTTTATTCTGTTGTGTAAAAAACATTTAACATGATATCTACCCTCTTAACAAACTTGTAAGTGTAAGGTCTATTATTACTGACTGTAGGGAAGCCAGTTGCATTAATTTTTTCGACAGATATTACCGCATTTTATTTTATTTTTATTTTTTCCTTCCAAATTTTTATTTAAATTCTTGGTTGACATATAGTGTAATATTGGTTGCAAGAGTAGAATTTAGTGATTCATCATTTACGTACAACACCCAGTGCTCATCACAACAAGTGTCCCCCTTAATCCCCACCCCATCTAGCCCCTCCCCCACCTACCTCCATCCATCAGCCCTCAGTTTCTTTTCTCTTTCTTTTCTCAGTTTCTCTTATGGTTTGTTTCTCTCTCTCTTTTTACCCCTTCCCATATGTTCATCTGTTTTGTTTCCTAAATTCTATGTATGAGTGAAATGGTATGGTATTTGTCTTTCTCTGATCGACTTATTTCACTTAGCATAATACACTTTAGCTCTATCCACGTCATTGCAAATGGCAAGATTTCACTCTTTTTAATGGCTGAATAATATTCCATTGTGTGTGTGTGCATATACATATGTTATACGTACACACACATACACACATACACCCCACATCTTCTTTATCCATTCATCAGTCCATGGACACTTGGGTTCTTGCCACAATTTGGCTATTGTTGATAATGTTGCTATGAACATTAGGGTGCATGTATCCCTTTGCATCTGTATTTTTGTATCCTTTGGGTAAATACCTAGTAGTGCAGTTGCTGGATCGTAGGGTAGTTCTATTTTTAACTTTTTGAGGAACCTCTATACCGTTTTCCAGAGTGGCTGCACCAGTTTGCATTCCCACCGACAGTGCAAGCGGGTTTCCCCTTTCTCAGCATCCTTGCCAACACCTGGTATTTCTTGTGTTGCTAATTTTAGCCATTCTGACAGGTATGAGGTAGTATCTCATCGTGGATTTCATTTGTAGTTCCCTGATGATGAGTGATGTTGAGCATTTTTTCATGTGTCTGTCAGCCATCTGTATGTCTTCTTTGGAAAAATGTCTATTCATGTCTTCTGCCCATTTTAACTGGATTGTTTTTTGGGTGTTGAGTAAAAATATGGAATACTTCACGAGTTTGTGTATCATCCTTGATCAGGGGCCATGCTAGTCTTCTCTGTGTCATTCCAGCTTTAGTGTATGTCTGCTGAAACAAGCACTGCATTTAATGTAATTATTGGCATGTCTGGATTTGTTCTACCGTTGTATTATTATTTTCTATTTGCCTTTTTTTAACCTACATTTGTCTTTTCCTGCCCTTAAAAAATTATCTGTTGGGTAATTTATCAGTTGGGTTTTTTGACTATGTGTTTTGTGCATGCACTTTTTTAGTGGATTGTGTGGGGCTAACAAGTATATCTCTAAGTTTACCTCATAATCTATGTCATGTCAATATTTCACCACTTCTGGGAGAACATAGATCCTCACCAGCATGTAGCATGTTCATCCTTTTCCCCATTTGCCTTTATGTTATAGTTGTCACAGGTATCAGGCCCAAATACACTGAAAATCCCACTAGACAATGCAATATTTTTGTCTTTCAACTATCATGCATATCTTTTAAAAATTAAAAGGAAAAAAATTTGTGTAGTTGCCTAGATATTTATAATTTCTGTTGCTCTTCCATCATTCCCAACATTCCGAATTTCCCTCTTGCTTCGTGTCCCTCTTGCCTGAGAACTTCTCTAAAGAAGGTCTGCTGGTCACAGATTCTTTTGTTTCCTTCATCTGAGAAAGTCTTTATCCTTCTTGAAAGATATTTTTGCTGAATTGACAGCTTTTTCTTTCAATGAATTAAAAATGTTATTCCACTCCCTTCTGGCCTCCATAGTTTCCAATGAGAAATCTGCTGTGATTCTTTTTTTTCCTTCAATATTTTTTTGATAAGGGAGGTTTCTTTTTCACCGCTCTCAAGATTGCTCTCTTTGTATTTAACGGTTGGCACTTAGACTATGATGTGTCTTGGTGCGGATTTCTTCAAGTTTAAACTGTTTGAGGTTCACTCAGTTTCTGGAATCCGTGGGCATGTTTGTGTCTTTTGCCAGATTTGGGGAGTTTTCAGCCATCTTTCCTTTGACTACTTTTTATGCTCTGCCCCTCTGTCCTCTCCTTCTGGGAATCCAGCCAATGTCATGAATGTTAGACCTTCTGTTAGAATCTCATGGGCCCCTGAGACTCTGCTTCTTGTTTGCGTTTTTTCCCCCCTTTGGTCTACTTCCTCTCCGTTGTTCAGGGGGGTGATTTCATATGTTCTATCTTCCAGTTCATCATTCTTCTCTCCTCTGTATTCTGCTCTTGAGTCCGAGCCCATCCATTGAGTTTTTAAATTTCAGTTATTGTTTTTTTCAGTTCTGAAATTTCCACTTGGTTCTTTTTTATATCCTATCTTTCTTTGCTGAGACTTTCTATTTTTTTTTCACATGTTTTGAGTGTGATCGCAACTACTCACCAAAGCCATTTTATGATGACTGCTTTAAAATCTTTGACACACCATTGGAAGACCTCTGTCTCATTTCAGTGTTAACATTTATTACTTGTTTTTTTTTCATTCTCTTTGGGATCTGCCTGGCTCTAGGTATGACCACTGTTTTGTTGTTTGTTTGTTTGTTTTTTAATTGAAACCTAGACATTTTGGGTATTATATTATGAGGCTCTGGGTCTTATGTGAACCTGTTTTAGCTGGCTTCCTCTGACTTTGCTCCGGTAAGGGGATGGGATGAGAGGTACCATTTCATTGTTGCTGCCAAATGGAGAAACAAGTCCAGCCCTCACCTGAGGGAGCTGCTCCTTGTTAGTGCCGATGGTCAGAGTTCCAGCTCCCCAGTGGGCTCCCGCCAATGCCTCCCTGGCTGGAAGAGGTGGGAGTGCCTTGGTCCTGCTCCCCACATGGCCTCCACATACACTGCAGCAGTGAGGGGAGGGAGTCACCAGCCAGCAGGAATGAAATTCCTGGCCCCCTAATTGCCCTTCTCTGATATAAACCCAGCAAAGTGTGTGGAGGTGAGGTGCCCCAGTACAGCCTGGTGAGGGAAGAAGTTTGCTCCCTAATTGGCCTTTTGCTGGCTGGGGCAGTGTGATGCCACTATGGTTTTGGTGATATTGAACTGCAGAAGAATAGTTATTGTCTAAAAGTTTTCTGTCTTGTTAAATTGTCCCTTTTCTGGTCCTTTGGCTCAAGGCAGCAGGCTTTTGTCGAGTTTTTGTGTCCCTACCCACTGTTCATTTCCAGGTTGCTGGCTTTTCAACTACAATATAGGAGGCTGAAGGAAAACCTGGGGAACTCACCACCATGGCATTCCTTGGGTCCTGAGATCCACAGCAGCCTTCTTCTCTTTGCTTTTTTGGAGTCTTCTTATGTTTTATATATAATGTTCAGGGTTCTTAGTTGTACTTAGCTGGAGGAATACAGAGAAGTATGTCTCTGCTCCATCTTCCCCAAAACAGAAGTTATTAAATTTGATAAATACCACCAGTAGCCCTCCAAAAATGTTGCTGGTTCATCTTTTTTTTTCTTTTAAGATTTTATTTATTTGACACAGAGAGAGACAGACAGAGAACACAAGCAGGGGGGGGTGGGAGAGGGAGAAGCAGGCTTCCTGCAGAGTAGGGACCCAATGCAGGGCTTGATCCCAGGACCCTGGGATCATGACCTGAGCTGAAGGCAGACACTTAACCATCTGAGCCACCCAGGCGCCCCTGGTTCATCTTGAACTAGGAAATGGTATACCCTGAGTCTGCTTTAGACTTGAGGACTTAACCAACATCCCAGTGCCTGCCTATTGTAGTTAATCAGTGATGGATGGATGGATGGATGGTTGATGGTTGGATGAACAGAATACAGGAAAGGCCATCAGGAGGCCAGTACACAGTCCAGACAAGACATCACAGCATCAGCATCAACATCAGCATCATCTTTATGATGGCCATAATACAAATAGCAATTACTGAGTTCTTCTACTTTGCCAGGTAAGCATTTCTGCCACATGATCTCATTCAATCCACAAACGAGATATGTCCATTTGAGAGAGGAGGAAAACATGGGCAGAGAGACATCGTACTGAGCTGAGATTCAAGACCAGAGACCCCTGGCTCATGGACCCAAGATGCCCCCACTGTTCTCTCCCACTCAGTTGCCCAACTGTGAGAAGGTGGTGTACTGTGACTTCCTGGGAAGACACACAGACACCTAGAGGACAGTGGGAACCCGCCTTACAAGAAAACGCAAGCAAAGGGGATGTATGTCAGATGACCGAGCCAGAACATCCTGCTGATGATCAGAGGTTTTCCTGCCGTGGGGAATGTTGGTTGGGCAAGTTTCAGAATCTCCTCCCTGAGATGGAAACCCAGGCTATGCTGTATTTGTGTATTAAACAAATGTCAATCAAGAGTTTGCTCTGTGCCGGGTGCTGAGGGTATACTGTAAGCAATGGGACAAATGTGATTTTTACTCCAGGGACATCACAAGGTCTAAAATCACCCTCCCCCACCCCAAGTCCACCCTGTTGAAAGCAGAGGGTCAGAACCACTCCCTGGTGCCCACGAGATGCCCTGCCCCACACTCAGCCCTTCAATCCCAAAGATTCTTTGAGTAGCAATGAATATCAGTGGTAGGCATCCAGACCATGGGAAGGGGAGCAAATTGGAGGCAATGACCCTGGGGTTTGGGGGATGCTCAGCTCTGGCTGTAGCTTAGGGTCAGAAGAGAGAAAGCCCATGCCCCCAACTTAGCACACCCAGTCTGTGCATTTATGAGGTAGACTCATGCCATCTGTAGAAACTCAGCTGCCAACCAAGCCAGGCAGCTGGGTTTTCTAGGGATCCTCAGGCCTGCCTGCAGCCCTCCTCTGACTCAGTTTCCCCAACTATTAATAAATAAGTGCATACATTCCTCCTTCTTTTTCTCTCTTTCCTCCTTCTTTCCTCGCTTCTCCTCAGTTCGGTGAAGATGGGAGGCAGTGCTTCCTCTAATACCTAAGGCTCTGGATTCTTCATTTCATTTCCAGGGAGTGAGCATCTATCCTGTGCCAATCCCAGATTCACCACGTATGTTGACATCTGGGTGCCGAGGCCCAGCCTCCCACAGCAGCGTAGAACACCAGCCTGCCTTGTATGTGTCATTGCTAGCCAGCCCTGGGTCCCCATTCTGGCACTGGAGACTGGAGTGGGTCCGCCAAGGGCGCCAGGATGGGAGGCTGGTCGCCGTGGTGATGCCGCTCCACCAGCACTGCCATCCCACACTGGGGCCACTCAGAAAGACCTGTATGCAAGTCCTCTTCACCATCCTAGGGCCCCGCACCCCACCCCCTGCAGCATGGGGAAGGGTTCTAGAAAGGATCTCTGCAAACTGTCACGTGCCATGTGGTCACCAAGAGGCTTGTGATGGTGGCTTGCTCCAAAGAGTCAGTGTAGAGCCAAGATTCACTGTCTCCGTCTACCTCGAAGGGCTCCAAACTTTCCCAACTTCCTTCTGCATACACCTCATCACCGTTCTAACTACACAGGTGCTGCTACAGTTATGGTTTTGGGTCTCTTTGCCCCACTGGAGGGTATGTTCTGTAAGGGCAGGACCCTCCTCCCAACACGTTCTCCAGAATCCCCCCAGCTGGGTACAACCCTGGAGACAGAGCAGCGGCTTGACCAACTGCCCTTTGCCGAACAGAAGGATGGACAAATATTTTACGAACACTGACTTTATTCCTGGTGCCATGACAGCAGTGGGTATACCAGGAGGTGCTTCATAAGGACTTACCAAGAGATTAAGTTAATCAGCTGGAGAGTTGGGGTGACAGCTTTTGAGAGTGTTGTTGTGCCAGAAAGTAAGGAGATTGCTCGAAAAGCAAAAGGGCGGGTTGTGTCCAGGGCTGTGGGAGCCCACCTGAAAGAGCCATCACAGCTGGAGCGGTTTGAGGGGGAAAAACACATCATCCTGGATCACAACCCAGAGTGTAAGATAGATGTCCACGAGTCTGCACCAATAAAGAAGTGACAGATAATGGGAGAGGCGAGAGAACCCATCCTCATAGGGGAGCCCCTGCTCCCAGTGCAGCCACTGCCCCCGTGCTCCCAAGGTGGGATCAGCCAACACCTATGGGCTTACCCACGAGACGCTTGTGGCGCCCGGAGAGCGCATCGGGGGCTCTGGCTCCCTCGGTGAGGTG